AGATAGTATCTCATCATGTCATTTCAAAACCATGAGCATTCATGCGTTTCTATAACAGCCTTCGCTCTACAAATCTTTCCACAAGATGCATTAACATGGCTTCAGGGATTTGCACACATTCAGGGGTGTTAACTCGATGTACCGGTTCCTATCCAAAGGTGTTGTGTGGAGTTGAGGTCAAGGACTTTACAGATCGATCAAGTTCTTTTTTTAAGGTTATTCTTGTGATTGTTTCTTTTGAAGAAAATGAAGAACACTAAATCAGGAGACAAACTGGGATGGACCAAGAGGACAGCATCATCTCACCAACACTGCTGAAGACATACCACAGCACCAGCATTAGCAGGTTTAGAAGTATTTTTAAGTGATAAGTACAATTCATAAATAAAGAAATCATGACTCTACTATACATACATGAGCCAACTCAACCAACATATTAAATAATACAGTTAGAAATACATAGCAACAAACTAAACTATTTTACATTTCATTCACTGACAAATGATGAGTCTCTTGTGTATCAGCTAAACCACCTACACCTCTGGAAGCAGACTGATTATACAATAATGTAATGATCACATCCGAATACATGCTGTAAAGCTTTCTGAGATACACTTGCCGAGCATATACAATCTAGTATAGTTTGCATCTATTGATGCAACACTGTGACGGAGCGGATCACATGAGTGACTCACTCCGCCACTGACAGCCGACACACACACACGCACACACAACACACCAAACATTTCGGAGAAAAGACGGAGCTGCATCACTTCCGTGTTTTAAATTCCTAAAAATGAACCATGCAATTTCTTATTTATTTTTACTTTTGTTAATTATGGGGAATGACGGTTAAGAGGTAGTTAACCTGTGTATGTTTGGTGCAGATAGTTTCCTCATGTTGGAGGAAATTACATTTATGTTGACAATGTGGTTTGGAGTTGATTGTGTCACCTGTTGACGGTGAGCCTGTGGGAGGGGCCATGGGTTCAAAAGGGACGGTGTTGGTTCCTTGTGGGGGCGGACTGTGTCACTCGAAGAATGTTGCAGTGAAGGCAACAGCTGGGATGTGTTCGGGGGTTTGTTGCAGAGAAGGCAACAGCCAGAACACGTTTACTCTGAATGAGTGATGGACGGCCTGTTTTTGTCTTTTATTTTTGTTGTTTACATTGTGCTGGTTCCGTTTTTGTTTTGTTGCTGTAAATAAAGTTGTGGAGCTTAACCCAACCGACTAGGCCAGTGTTTTTTGAACGGACAAATAGAGCCCCGTCACAAACACAAAAAAGTAATTGGAGATGAGCAAATGTGTTATCCCATACAATAATTAGCAGTGAAGATTATGCATTCTCTAACAATAAGTTTCTGTATACTCTTTTTAAAAAACATGACTTTATCAACCTGTTTTTTGTGCATGAAACACAGTAAGGCGTTTCCAAAACTTGTAAGCACATACATGACTGAAGAATAGTAAGCTGTAAAATGCTCCTTAATTGATAATAAAGGATCAACCTAAACCAATAATACATCTACGGAAAGAAAGTACTCATGGACAGGAGCGTCTACATATATCGTCTTCCCTCTGAATGCACTGGCTTTGAGTATAGTGCACTCTTGTGGCAGGACTAAGCTATTCCGACCTCTAAATATATTTTCCACACACACACACACACACACACACACACACACACACACACACACACACACACACACACACACACCACACACACACACACACACACACACACACACACACACACACACACACACACACACACACACACACACACACACACACACACACACACACACACACACACACACACACACACACACACACACACACACACACACACACACACACACACACACACACACACACACACACACACACACACACACACACACACACACACACCATAAAACAATTTGCTGAACATATGGAAAGAGGTTTCAGAGCACCAGATATGGTCTGAGTCACACACATTCCCAGCCAGGGTGGAATTATAATACATTCAAAATCATGGGCCTGAAACCGAACTGAAAAAAGCAGGCTTCAGATTTTAAAGTAGCGGTGGGAGGAGAGGATGAAGAGATGAGAATATGTAACACTGTGAGAGAGGGAGAGAGAGATGGAGTGGGAGAAAAAGGGATAAGAGGGAGAACTGGCCCGAACCTCCCCTCTTCACTACACACTTTATCCATTACCGCTGAGAGACAGCCAGGGAGTCTCTCTATCCTCTGAGACGGAGGAGGGTGGAGGGACTCTCTTTCTCACCTTCTTTCTCTTTCTCTATTTCACATACACCACTAATGTTGTGGCAGTGTTGCTGTTGAGGCAAAGAGAGAAGAAGAGTGGGAGGCTGCATCCAACAACCACCCTCTGTGCGTTAATGAGACCGTGGCAGAAATTAAAAGACGACGAGAAATACTAAATAAGAGAAATGTAGAAAGAAACAGAGACAGGAGGAGCTAGATAGAAAACTAAGAGTAAAGGCAAGTGAAGAGAGATCAAAATTCATTTTAGCCAATTTCTTAACAGCTGATTACACATGTCAGAAACCTCCAACCCGCTCTGACTTGTTTAACATTTATCATCGAGAAAATATTTCTATACCATTATCAGTGTATGTGCATGTTATCATAATGCACATACGCAAATGCACCTCCACGCCTCATACATATTACTAACTATGCACATATGAATATTACATCAGCACTAATGTGTCCAGATGTGTGCCGGCTCTGAGTGTTTGAAGTGGTTGCTCCATGGACTAACCAACGGAAACCCTGAAGGGTCCATATCAATGAGGGCTTAGCTTGCCCCCCTATTAGCGGCTGAGCTAGCTTCAGCACACTGTCAGCTCAATAGTGGAAGTTTGAGATCGTGGGACATTGCCAGATCACTGAAGGCCTCAGAGGTCCTCGGTATGGAACGGAAACACGGAGCAATGAGCATCATAACTGAGTTTTGAATGCAGTCTGTGCAAATATGCATTAAATAATAATGAGGCTGATTTCAATTATCTGAAGATACGGGAAAACTCCTGAATCAGCTTCCAACACGCATCAGTGTGTGTCGAGAATGGCCATAGTAGGCTAATGCACATCAATACAAAAAAGTGTCATAAGAGAAGTTGGATAATTGTGATGTCCACCTACCTGTCGTGGTCCCGGCCCACGCCCCAGACACGGATGCTAATGATTGGCTGAGAGTGGAGCAAGCTGTGATCATCAGGGTCAACGAGCGTCAACATGCGGTCCTGAAGCACCAGCAGCATCCCTTTACCCTGTAACCCAAAAGCCAGTCAGGAAACCAGTCATTTAAAAAAAGATATCACAGCTACACAAATTGTATATATTTTTTTACTTTTATCTTATCCTTTATTTTTTACACAATATGGTTTGAATCAGGTGAGACAAACTGGACTGTATTCCTTGTCTTCATTTTAAATCTCATGAAATAAATGAGGTTTCTACCAACCCATCTCAATTGAATCCACATATACATATAGGGCAGCACTTGCAAACTTCTTATTACATTTGGTTTAAAAAAACCAAAACATTCCACTCACACACATGGACGTTTAAACTGCGGAGGCTGTGTGTGTCAAGGTGTTTTGTTCAGGCACAAAGTAAAAAGTGAGCTATGGCATACATAGTGTGTAATGTAAGTAACACTGACCTCCCCCCCAGACGCCGGCGGAGTCCCGTATGTCTCTCCTGCAGTAGGACAGCTGCCTGATACAGTGGTGCACGGCCACACTGCTCCTGCCATCGCACAGGTCCTGCTCTGCCATCTCCATCCAGCCCAGAGAGCGGACCGGAAAGGACTTGAAGGAGCACCACACACAGTTGGAGGATTCAGTTGTCAATTTCATCAAAGATCTTTTAGCAGTTCTGGCTATCATATTGTCAGTATCATAACACTGATCTTTCTGATATTATTTGTGATATTTCACAACAGGGCGACATTGCTACAATAAAGTCTAACAGGGCAAGAATCAAGGTTAGTTAGACAATTAGACAGAATACAAATAATACAACAACAATAAATGATAAATCACATTATTTGAAGTCCCCTAAAATTACGTAATAATCAATACTAAGCAATGTCAGTGTCCAAGATATAAGTGCTTAGTTATTGTCATCATAACTGAAAAACAACAACAGGGCAGAGTCTGGAAAAATGTACAAAGGTTTAATTTAGCTCGCAGAGGTACAGTACAGTATGTACTAACAGCCACTGTAACATCACATGATGGCAGGAGAGCAAGAACTAAAAGGGGAGGATTGAGGAAGACATCAAATATGAAAGACTGTGTGTGTGTGTGTGTGTGTGACTTTAAAAGAGCTTGGTTTCTACCACAAAAAATACCTCAATGCTTAGTAAGCAAGCCCTGTTCAAGTTTCAAGTTTCAAGCTCTCTCAACAGGGCAGGCGCTAACATACAGGTGAGCATTCACTGGTGAAAAACACTTCTTAAGGTCACTTGTGAGGTCACTGTGTTGGCTAACAATGATCCCTGATGACTTACAGACATTTTAAGAGTCACTTAGACCAAAAAAATCATAACCTAAAATAAGTGGCTTGACCTATGTTGGATAATATTATCTCTATCATATCAGAGAGAGAGCCAGAGAGAGAGAATCGAGAGAGACGAGAGAGCAGCACGAGAGTATCCCCGAGAGAAGCAGAGAGACTGAGAGAGATGACGAGGCGGAGATAGATCTTGTACCTCTCGCGATCTTCCCCCTCTCTCTCTCCTCTCTCTCTCTCTCTATCGCCTCTCTCTCTTCTCTCTCTCTCTCTCTCTCTCTCATCTCTCTCATCTCTCTATCTCTCTCTCTCTCTCCTCTCTCTCTCTCCTCTCTCTCTCTCTCTCTCTCTAAACCTTCACACATCCTTAGATCATATCTGAATTGCCACACTTATGCCCCGTGTTTCTGGGTTCCTCTGAGAACTACTTAGGCTTATACCTTATATTTTCTACTTATTTTTTTTATTAAACATCTCAGATTTGCCTGTCGCAACATTAGTTTGGGAGAAAACGTAAATGGTACTTTTGTTTTGGAATCTTAAACATTAACTGTATATAAATAGAGCATATCATCTTTATTTTATGCCGTGAGTACACAACATTTAACTTTTAATATTGAACTATTAAAATATGTCCTTTGCATAATGGTGAAATTCAATAAGTATCAAAGAGGTTTCTTCAAATCAGACTCACAAAAAAACAGTTTGGCTGTAAACATGTCTATAGCTCAGTTCACAAAGTAACCACTGAGTGGCACTGCAACAGATAAGAGAGAGGACTGAGAGCAGGTGTATTACATCATGGAAAACAAAGCAAGATGCCTTCCCTTCATTAATAAATAGATAATATGCTGAAATTATGATATTTTGTTCAGCAAATAAGGACCGACGGAGTTAATAAGAGAAGAATATGTGCTCCATCTCATTTTATTGTAGCATGTTTTCTCCTATGACCTAATGAATAAACTCGCTTCATGTTCGACTCTCTTTCAATTACTTAGTTTGTGCTACAGATCTGAAATGTCTTTTTACCTTTGCACTGTGGTTTATGTTTGTACTCAATGCGTGGAGTAAAAAACAAGAATCTTAATCCAAAGCATATACCAAAGCAAATTCCTCATATGTGTACCTACTTGGTAAATAAAACCGATTCTGAAAGTATGAAGCACTCGTGTGTAATTGCAATTTCGTAGTCCCATCTGGTCACCACACATATTTGTGTTGAGCAAAATAAATCATGAATCAATGTGAAAGAGGGAACTACTTCTTCAGCAAATAAAGTTGATATTTGTATTTATCTGGTTAATAATCCAGGCAGGATGTTCTCAGCCACAACGTTATTTCATACACATTTTGGTTTTACCATTGCCTCGGGATCGGAGAAGGTGTTGTTGAGGTCCACTGTCTCCAGCTGGGCTGGGGCGCTGCAGGGAGACATCAGACATAACATAAAGTCAAAATATATATTTTCAAAATTAAAACACACTCAATATATTATAGGATATGTGTATTACTTGATATTAAGTGAAGCATAGCGGAGGGTAGCCCCTTGAAACGCCTTCAGACTGGGATCTGGATAGACTGGATAGTCCTTCAGCTCCTGGAGCCAAAGAGACATTCAGAGAGAGAGACATTAGTGACAGAGACTGGTGAGGGAATTTAGAAGATAACAAAGAGACAGATTTTAATATGGATTGTACCAAGTTATTTGATCTTAATCCTCTTAATTCTCATTTTAAATTAGTATAAGTGATATTCATCTCTGTTGAATATGCACCTCAGACTGGCCCTGACTGAGATTCACTGTGGGCTCATTTCAATCTAATAAATGCAGCAGTGAACGCAGAGATATATCGACTACAGTCACACCATTAAGCTTTTAGAGGATAATGCATACATAAGACTTTTATGCAAAGTGCAACTGAGATGAACCAGAGCTGAACTAAAAGCTATAAAAAGCTACATGTGGTGCTACCATCATCATGTAATGTCAGAGAATCCTTTGTTATGTTTTTAATAGTGATTGTACAACTGTGGAGCAGTTGTGGGTTAAAAGGCTAAAATGGAGTTAACTTAAACCATTAATATACTGTATATGACAGCAATGCATTTGAACTTCTACAGAGAGGGAAGCAATTTGGATTAAAGCTGCAAGCAACAACAAACAGTTCCACACGCAACCATGTGTGTTGGGGGAACTGGTGGGATGCCAACTTCCTGACAAATTACACAAAATGGCTGTGACACAAAGGCGCTCCATGAAAACAATAGATTTGAATTACTTTTCATTTTCAGTGTCTTCAGATTGTGCTGACCGAATGTGAAGTTGATTGGATTTGATCTGAAGGACGAGTTTATTAAAAACACCCATGGCTGCTTCGTTAAAGTTTGGTAGCACAATCTCACTCGCATGCTAAGGGTTCAGGTCAATATGTTACGTGATTGCTGCCCATGTTGAATCTCATCATCTGTCATTGTGAATCATTTTCTGTACTAAATTGTACGCCCAGGTTAATGTGACTCTGACTCACACTGGCTGCGCAGGAGGTGATGTTGAGATTTGGTCCAGATGAGATGACATCATCGTAGGGGGTGGAGGAGCAGGAGGAGGGGGAGGAGCCAGAGGGGGAGGGCACCGGCTCCACCGAGCTGCCAGATATCAGACTGCTGGGGCGCTGTGGCGAGAGAGGCGGGATAAAGATAAGATGGACAGAATGACGAGGCGTCAGAGAAACAGAGAGGATGGTGGTCACATTAACAACAGCTTTCTAATATGTTGGAATATTGTACACTTTCCAGATAGCAGATAGCAGATAGTATCAAGCGTTGAAATAATTGTGGTCTCCATCTGACCACAATTACACAAAAATAGAGTTGATCCTAGGCTTGAATATAATTTGCATGTCCTTGAATTCATTCTTACAGCTTTCAAAACAAATGTTTGAAATAAAAATTATTTTCACTGATGTAATCTTTGTTGTTATTGTGACCGTTGGTAGTGTTATTGTTGGTTATTCAGTGTTCTTTTGCCTTGAATTTATTTTACATTATGATGTAATGTTAATGTATGGACCCCAGGATGAGTCATTGCTACCTTGACAGTGGCTACTTTTCTCAATGTTCATCGACGGATGGAATATTTCTACAATTAAAGAGGATGGCTCGCTTATACTGTAAATTGATGTGAAAACAAATAAAAAAACAAGCGAGTGGATCGTGAGTTAAGATGTTTCTTAAACTTACATGCTTCACTTTTAAAATAATACTATGTTACTTTATTATTATGGGTTTCAGTGCCATTGTTCAAAATTCATAGAAGAGTGCAGAAAGCATTTCACTTCCAGCGTAACAGTTTCACAAATCAGGGCTTCGGTATTTAATGTTTAACCCTGAGTGTGTTATGTTTTCCTCTTACCTCGTTGGGGGGCTTCGGGGAGTCCTGCTCTTCCTGTGGGGGGCCGTGCTCAGTGTCTGGCTCATTGCTAGGAGAGGTCTGCTCGTCGCTGGAGGCAACAGGTCGGTGGTATTGCGTGGTGCCGGTGGGGATGTGCCAGAAATAGATCTCTGATGAGTCTGAGATCTCCCGCCAGCCTGGGGGCAGGTCCCCCTCGCTCCATACATCTGCTAATGGAGAGCAACGACACATAACACACATTGAGAGTGTTACACAAACATGTACGTGTGTATGCTCGCACACAGGAGGGCTCTACAGAAACACCTGATTGTGACATACATAAGACACACACACACACAGGCAGGGATGGACAGGGTCAATTTCAGCGATGGTCAGCCTGTCCCTATCTGTTGTCATAGAAACTGTGTGGCTCATCCCCTGTAGTCAGACCAAGTGAGCAACAGCATCTCTCCCTTCCTCTCTCTGTTGTTTTCCCCCCGTCTGCCTTCTTATATTACCCTCCATACGCTCATATTCTCAAACTACTGCTTTGTCATCCGTCCTTGGCAATCACCGCTTCCTCAACACAGTTCTGCTATTTTCTCTTCCCATTTTTCCTTCCTTTTTCACACCCTCTATCTGCAGTATCCTCTCGCTCTGTCCATCCCAATCGCTCTCTGTACCATAAGGTGGCTCACAGGGGCCTTAAAGGTTACAGCAGTATTACTGGAGCTACTTGCTTGCTTAAAAACTGGCTTTTGGTACATGTCCAGTTGTAGGAGGCAGAGGAAGGGAGAGATACATCGAGGGAAAGAAAGTGTGATAAAAGCTGACACAGATCTGCTAATGACAAATGTAAGATCAGATGACAAGACAAACACACACACACACACACACACATCGTACCTGTCTCCCGTGGAGTCTGAGGAGAGGGCGTCTCCTGGGACAGGGTGGTCCAGCTGGAGTCTTCATCCTCTGAAGGACTTTCAGGAGTCAGATCCATTCTTAAGCCCACTTTAGGGAGCGCAGTCTCTGCTTGAGGGTCTGTCAGGGCAGGGGGCGCCCGGGTCTTGGTGGGGGTGCTCCTCTCTGCAGCCCGGGCCTGCTTAGGGGAGGAAGGCGGGTACTGTTGCAGGAACTGGTTCTCATTGTTGGGGTGCAGCTCAACCTTGATGATCCGAGGCTGGGAGCTCCGAGGGGGCTTTGCAGGACTGCATGGACTGACCTGAACCTGGGCACACAGCTCCTCTCGGACCTGGGCTGGAGCACGGCTCTGGAGGAGGTTTTGGTTGTCTGGGACCCACTCTGGGCTGTCGTTGGAAGAGGAGGACGTGGGGGAGAGAGGAGCTTCCAAAAGCACCGGTAGCAGGGGCGGCCTTGGTGCAGGTGTGGGTTCATCCTCCTCCTCCTCCTCTTCCTCCACCACTGGCACCACCTCTTCCTGGAAGGTCTGCTTGCTGCCGGGCTTCTCCTCCTTCTGGCTCTCCCTCTCCTTGGCAGGGCTGGCCTGCTCCTTCTCTGGGGAAGGCTGCTGCTTGTTCTCTGGGGAAGGCTGCTCCTTCTTCTCCTCGTTGTCCTCTTTGTTTCCCCAACTGTGGTCCAGATCCCAGCCCTTCCCATGATAGTCCAAGAAGCTCTTGGTCCTTCTACGGAACGGGGGCAGCTGTGAATTGTCTTTTCCCGACTCCAGCCAGTCAGAGCTGGGATTATTGAGGAGATCGTTGTGAATCTTTTCCTCTGTATTGGCCCTGCTCAGCTCCTGCTGCTGACTCTCAGCTCGTCTCTGCATGTTGGCCCCATTCTTGGCCAGTTTGGGGTTGGTTGTGTTAAACATCGAGGACGATGAGGAGTAGAGTGCAGAACTGGAGGAGGACTTGGTGGGGAGCCCCCTCCCTCTGGTTACAGGTTGATTTTTAGAGGATAAATTGTCACTTATCCCCATAGCGCTGCGCACACTCGTCATCGTGTGCCTCTGACGGCTCTTTGGCAAGGTGGCCGAACTCCCTGTTTCCATGGACTCCTTGATGACGTCTCGCCCAAGCAACTGGTTGTATGATGAGCGAAGGCTGAGGGAGGTGGGAGGAGCTGAGGAGGGGCCGCTGCGATTGGCCATTCCCACATTCGAGGGGGAGGAGCCAGAGCGGGATAGAGGAGGAGTTTGAACCGACATCATGGCTGACAGGAAATACGCTGCGGTGATAGAGCTGAGGAGAGAAGAGACACACTGTCAGGAGTCATGTTACACCATGTGCTGCACAATGGGTCAAAATCAATGTTGGTATAAGAGATTATTATTTTAATATACTTTTTTTTAATAAACACATATCATTAAACAATACATTTTGACACAGATCCTTTAAACTATAATTACATTTGTTTTATTATATTTATAAAGATGAAGAGATAGGGAAGGAAGTGTTTCTCACTTTAATGAGTCAGTCTGAGTACAGTCACACTTCTCCTTCCTGTGTCTGCAAGCTTCTCTTATGCCTACTTATTTATATGGCTGGCAAATGTTTAGTATACAAACTACTAAAATAACAGTATACTATAATATAATTTAATCAAGGTTAGGTTGATCACTTTGAAATGTAGTCAGTTACTGCATACAAATACTATACTATTTTTGTAACTAGTAGCATTATCCATTACAAAAAAAGGTTCTAATCCGAATACTTTTGGATTACTTCAACATAAAACAAATATAAATATTGTACCTTTTACTAAAAATAAAAGCAGTTCCACAAAAAGGATTTTTTATTTTTTTTAATTCTCAATTGTATTATATGTAAATAAAATGCATTTTGCATATTCAGCATTTATAGTAGGTCGAGTCAAGTGACCCTTACAAAAACATTACTGGCACAAACTACAAGTGCATTTGTGCGGTTTTCTTCATTGCTGCAGTTATTTAATCAAAGGGCACCCTGTGTGTCTTTTCAGAGCATTGCACCTTTTGCATAACTTTAAAAATGCCATATTTTAAAGACGAAATCAATATGTAATCAAGTAATGGTTGACAATGTAAGTTTGTTGATGTGTTTTTTATAATATTTGGCCTGATTAATCTCTGGGAGTCTCTAACATTATTGTGTGACATCATCAAGTTGAGCCGTTTAGTGCTGTGTCACTCATTTGCATTTCTCTGATGTAACAACCTACAAAACAGAACAAAAACCGATAGACACATCTTGCTCCTATCGCTCTGACTGCAGTTTGGACACTCTCTTTATTGATACATCATAGGGCAGATCATTTTCTGGCTTCATGCACCCTTTAATCATAAGGTGTCACTGTTGAAGAGTCAAACACCCCTGCATCAAAGACATAAATCTAGACTGCATTTGCATGATATTGGGAGTGAGTCAGATCCTTGATGTATTCATCCAGGACTGAGGTTGAAAGCCGGGGCTGAGCAGTCAGGCGGCCTGCGGGGAGGAGAAGTGGCAGCCAGCTCCTGCTAACTAGCTAACCGTGTCTCTTTTATCTCGGGGTGGATCAGCCCTGTGATGCTGAACACAGACAGGTGGAAAACAACAGAGACAGAAGCAGGTAACCATTGTGATCTTTGTGTGAAGACACGGCACATGTATGGGTTGCATCTGTGTCATTTCTGTTTTGAAATTATCTAATTTGTCTGGGAATTATTTTTCACATGACAACCCTGTGGGAAACTGGTAAACCACTGAACACAGAAACAGATGAAAAACATGGCCAGGCACGCAACACAATGTATACACATCCTGTCACCCTTACCCTATCATGAACACACACCCACATACACACCTCATACAATGCTGCAGTCATCATCAGAGCTTTTCTCAGAAACATGGAAAACACAAACACAGCAGATTTTAAAGCACGACAAGATCTTGAGAGGCAGGGGCAGCGTTTTGGAGGCAGCAGAATCCCTAGGCGGTGCACTTTGTTCATGCGGGTCCCCTATCAGCTCCCCTCTCCCCAGGTGTGTGTCGTGTTGTCACTGTCACTGAGACAACCACAACAACCTGTTAGTGCTGAATATGCACTCACGGTGCAGGCCTCACAAACACGGGGTCAACAGGTACAGTCTCATCAGCTATCTCAATCAGCACGTAAACACCTTGTAACTCCAATGTTTTACACAGTGCTTGAATTGGAATGAAAAAGGTGCCAGTACTCTAAAATCAGCAACTTTTTCAAGTCAATTTTATATATACAGCCCACAAACAAGAATTTGGCTACTATAATGCTGGTGGGTTTGTCTCTTTACTACTGTATATTTTAGAAAGGTTCACTGTACTTAACATTTTTTATGATAGGCAGCGGATATGGCTAAAGCTCAGTAAGGTCAATATTAACTGAAATATAGCAATCAAAGTCTAGATCTTCTGCTGAAGACACATGAAGCAGAGACCTTTCAGGTGAGAGCCCCTCTGGTGGTGTTCAACATTAATGACAAGGAAACAAAGCTCTGGTCAGAAGCATTTTTTATAAAAAGCTTTAACAAAATTAAGTATTTCTGTACATTTTGAATGCAATCTAACTTTCCAACTCAGAAAACGAAAAACGAAAAAGTGCCAAAAGTCTTCTCACATGGCTGAGCTGCTTTGCAATATACTTCACCACTGAAGAATACAAATATGTATAAAGTAAACTATGATGCAATCTAACTTTCCAACTCAGAAAAATGATAAAGAGCATGAACAAAGAACATGTAAAAACAAATGCAAAATTTGCACAATCTAAAATGAGAAACTGTAACTGCAAGTAACAAAGTCTGAGCCATGGTAAAGAGTTACATTGAACACCAAGCTGATCAGATAACTCCCTGGTTGGTCTGAAGTCCTTCTATCTCCAGGATCTGTACAAATCGGCACATTATGCCAAAAGTCTTCTCACTGGGTGAGCTGCTTTGCAATATACTTCACATTGTTAGAAAAGGCTCCAGAAGGCCTTGGGGACATCAGTATCAGGGGCTGGAGCTGGACAGGCTCTTTCATCAGCACTTCTCCTTCCCTTTGCCAGCCAGGACCTCACATACTGTTCCGGATTGAACTGTCCTAGTGATGGTCCATTACATTTAATGAAAACCAGGCTGGACAGTCGGCTGACAGAGAGAGCATTCCTTTTTGCAGTAAGGATATCGTTCATGCAGCTGAATGCCCGCTCACACTCACTAGTGGAGACAGCGATGGTTCGGACTGCTTTCAGTAGAGGCTCCATGGCAGCAGGTGTATGGGATGCCCTGGTTTCCTTGTATTCGCGAAAGCCCTGAACAGTCTCTCTTCTGTCCACTTTCAGCACTTCGCACAAACGTAGCACCTCTACGTCCCCATACTGTACGTCTAACTCCTCTTCAGGCCAACTTCCAGGATGGATAACTTTCATGTCCTGGATTAGCTGATTGTCCCGGGCCTCCCGGCCATGTAATGGGATTTCTCTTGTGCTGACATGAGAGGAAGTTGTGGAAGTCATTCTGTGTCTCAGATTCTCTACCATACTGCGGAAAAACTGACCTGCATGAATCTGTACAAGCCTGCCATTCTCACGCAGGGCAACACCCTTGAAGGACTTCTCAGCTAGAGCTGTATGCACTGTAGTCATGTGTGGGCCAGGCATGGTGACCATGGATTCAAAAACTCGTATTTCTCGAGTTAAGAGCCTATCTGCTGTAGGCAGTGTCATCTCTCTTTTTTGGAGTTGCCGAGAGAGGTCGCTGAGCTCTGTGAGCGCATCGTACATCAGTCCCAGATTGCTGACAAACGTTGCAGATGTGAGCACATCATCCAGGCCCTTGTACTTTGCTCTGTCTCTGGAATCCCTGCTCGTGTCGTTTGCAGCATTTGTGAAGTGATCATGAAGCACTCGGTAGTTTTCCCAGACTGCTCTGACGCTCCTTTCACTTGAAGCCACCCAGCGGATGGACAAAACACGCCCTATCACCAGGAGATGCTGTCCGACTGCTTGCGCACACTGCGCTAACTGCCTCTGATTTTTGGGGGAGGCATGGAACAAGGAATAGAGTTTGTCAAAAAAGATCTGGAAATGATTGAGCTCTGAGACCTCCTTGACCACATCCCCAACTGCCAGCTCTAGACGATGATTGGAGCAGTGCCACACAAACAGGCTTGGGAATTTACTACACAACTGGGTAGCAACGCCTGTTCTCTTCCCTAGCATGACTGAAGCCCCATCACATGCAAAAGAAACGAAACACTGACCTAAAAAGTCCTCGTTAAAATCTCTTCCAAGACACTCCATTAACGCCTTTGTGATGTCATCAGCCGTTGTTCCATCCAACTCGATCAGCTCCCAAAAAAACGTTTCGGGCTCAGCATCAGCTAATGCTGAGCGTAGACACACAACAAGCACCGTTTTACCACTAATAGTGGTAGATTCATCGACCAAACACAGAGTTTTCTTTGGTTTTCTGTAATGTCTTTTGCCATTTTTTTCTTCAGCTCATGAGCTATGTGGTCGATGATTTCGCCACAGGTTTTATTGGAGTGCAAAACCCTGCCCACGTTCAGCCCATTCAGTTTCTGTACATTCAAATCAATTGGCATGTCTGTGAATGGCCGGCTATGTTTGCCAATTTTATATGCCGTTCGAAAAACTCTGATAGTGGTGTCTAATTCAGATTTATGCATAGACTGCACTTGATGTTGAATAGTTTCACGTGAAGCAGATGTAAGGATGTCAGCAGCTTTTACATGGGCTTGTGATTCTTTATGTTCTTTGATTTTTTTCTCAGGCTAGCTTGTTGTTTGCCCTTGTCAACACCGAAATGAGACACTGCACACTCACCCCATTCAGTTGACAGTTTCAGTCCTTGTCCAGTGTGTATTCCCAAAGATTTGACATCTCTGCATATCCGACATCCTAGCTTCTTATCTTTAAGAAGGAGCCATGCATTGGTCTTGCAAAAATATTGCACCTGGTCCGTTGTCCAGCAGTCAGGTGCATCGCTTTGCCCGGTGTTGGTGGTGGCAGTTGCGCCAGCAGCAGCTAACGTTAGAGGCTCTGGAGGAGGCGGCGGAGCTAGTGCTAATGCTAATGCACTAGAACTTGGAGCAGGAGGATCAACCAAAGAAAGCTCCCCATCAGACACAATTTCCAACACAGGCACAGCATTCTCTGTATTTGAAGTTTCTTCCGGCGACAACCGCTGTCTTTTTGCACTTTTATTAATCCACGCTAACATTTTAGAAATGCTAATTTGTGACGTGACTTGCTTTCCTTCTCTCGGGGGCGTGCCTGCTCTGTTCTATCACTCTACATAGCCACCCACTGGGTGGGAGTTGCACTGCATAAACACAACACACGTGCATCTAGGTATGTAAATTGTAAAGCATTAAAACATGGTTTACTAACAGTTTTCAGTATGTTGTTACTTCGGCATTATTATTATTATTATTTTGAAACGTGGATTACTATTAAATCACGGTCAAATAGGTTAATTTTGACATAGTCGTTTCCACCACAGTATTTACATGGAGAAGATAAGCCCCGCCCCCTCTCCAGCACGTTCTGTTTGAATGACAGGAGTAAACAGCTGACAGCCGCTGTGAAACTCCAGCGGTTAGAGCGATGAGAATGTCCGTTCGGCACCTCATGACGCATCTACTGAGTACCGGGCGGCTTGTATATATATATATGGATGTATAATAAGAACGGCGGGAGAGTGTTGAGTACTGGCACGGTGCATGAGTACCGGAGTACCGCCAGCATGCCGGTACTGAGCAAGAAGTGCCGGTACTCCATGGGTCAGAACCAGAAGTGCCGGTACTGCGTACCGGTGAGTACCGGCCCAATTCCAGCACTGGTTTTACACCCTTAAGAAGAAAAAAATCATTCTGTAGGCGCAACATAATATTCCACTTTTGCCATTATGAAAACCTAAATAAACTTCAAAATAAGATGCCAAAAATGCATTCATACCCAAGCAAAAGAGCTGCCAATACAAGTTATCCACCTGTCAGTTACTGGCTTAAACCTTAAGCCAGTGAGGCTGACACATCCTGACACATCCCCCAAAACAGATTAGGAGTAATAAGCAAACAACGTATATATATATATTTCAACTTCCCTTTATTCTATCTTCTTATATTATAATACATCATGTCTGAGTTGCAGACAAACTGGAACATCCTTTTCTTTCCCCCTAGACAATACAGCCAGATCTCCATTAGTTAAACAAAGTGGGGCGAGAGGATGTGGGGGGAGTGGGGGGGAGAGAGGATGGCTATTAGCGAGGGAGAGCGCGAGGAGAATGACACAGCAGTTTGCCGGACAGTCAACACACAGTGGGATTTAAACCCATGTCTCAATAAATCTGTTGTGCTCTCCAACAACAGAGGTCATTCATGAGATGTCACGGGACAGCTGCTACTGACTACTTAAAGAATCATTTTGCATCAATAAACTGTGCTCTACTGTTGCTTGAATTACAGTAAATGCATAGTCATATATGAAGGAAAACATGAGACACATCCTCTCCTACAGATTAACTTGCACAATAATTATTAAACTTCATGACACACAGGACCAAAATCATCTCTAGAACATCTAAATATGATGCTAATCTGCTCTAACTGTTTACAGTCTGCTCACCTTGTATACAGATTTAAAGACCTGAAGGTCGCCCAAAAACATAAATATCCAAACCAACCAATACCATGCTTTGGAGATTCATCACATCTAGATACTGACCGATATCTTGGCCTGTGAGAGGAAAACCATCCTTTATCAACTTACCCTGCAATGGCAGGCCTCTTCCTTCAACTCTGAAATGCACCCACTGCTTCACAAATGAAATGCAACAGATGAAAGCACGAGCTGGGGACAAAATGAACTTGAGAAAGTCGATGATGTCATGGAGTATTCAAGCCCCTCGTTTCTTGCTGCAACCTAAATAAACTCCCTCAGCGATATACCAGAAACAGCGTTATATCATTTTGAAATCCACCATATGCATAGGTGGAGCTGTCGATATGAGAACACACGCAGTAAATCTCCAGCAGCACCTTCCCCGCCGCAGCACTGGGAGGGGAGTGCACACCATCATCGAGATCTCTATTTACATCCACTCACCGCTTCGCTCAGCCTCCGGGCTTCTGCACCTCTGCTCCCGCGACGACACACACACGGTAGAGAGCAGGGCCGAGGTTGTCAGCCGCTTTTAAAGTGCCCGTCCGCCCGTAGCTGCAGCTGGCCGCCCGTATCGCTTCACATCATCTGCCCCCCCATCCGGCTCGGTGCTCTCTGCGCCAGAGGATCCCGGAACGGCGGAGCGCCCAGCTGACCAATCAGCGGCCAGGACTCAAAGGAGACGCAACCATAATAAATCTACGTGTGTTATTTTGCATTTCAGGTAATGAAATCACACATCATCGGAGTCTTACGTCATGCAGTTGTCTGAAGAAATATGAATGGTTTACAGCGATGACCACATCTGCATCAGCAACACCGTTTTAGTCCTTTCTACTGTTCTCTTTAGGTAAAGAATGTATGAGGATTGCTTTTAAGCTGTCATAAAACTAATGATGTTATAGTACAGCCTAATTCAAATCGATGTTGTTGTGAATAGATTACAATACTCTCTGCTCATTTAATTGCTCACCAGTATTACAAAGCTGCAAAAAAAAAAATGCTTTTCAGGGGTATACTTTTTGTTTGTGTCTATAACAGTACAACATCAGTGCATAATAATTCACTTTGATATGTTAAACAGGGTTGACAGTCACAAAGCATTTCCCTTTCTCCTCCGCAGTTGTTCTTTTATACAGTAGTTTTATTGAAGGTTAACATATGACATTAGCTTAAAGCACTTTTTCAGTTTCAGAGGTGTCCACAGCAATACAGTTTACAGACACACTTATAACAAAACTTTTTATGTGATCAAACTCCATAGGGAGAAAAACAAGTAACCACCTTTGATTCTCAACCCATTAAAAGGCACATTATCACAATTTCTTACTCAGAGAACTTATAATCACAAAAAATGCTGTAGTGTAAGAACAAATATAATGAACAAATATAATAAAAAAGCATCACATTTTCTTTCTACACATAATATGATGAGACCTTGTAACCAACTACTCTTTCAAACGTATAAAACATTGTGAACAATTATTTGAAGTATAAAATCTATTCATACGAGTTCAAAATGTACACACCTCACACACACTGACCTTTCTTCTCTGGTGACAATATATTCACTCTTTCAAATACACTCCTCAGTTTGATTGTGCGGCTCAGTCTAACTATCCTATCCCAACAGTCCACTGGCATGCTCCTCCCTCAGTGCTGCTGGGGTGGGGGTGCAGAGGGGTGCAGGACAGCGCCGGGGGGACACACAGGCTCCCTGTGCTCCAGGAGTGAGGCAGGAGGGGAAGGGTGACGGAGGGAGAGGTGGAGGGACGGAGTCGACTGGCCAGAGAGAGGAGAGGCTGCTGGATGTGACGCTCAGCTTCAGAGAAACATGGAGCCGAGCGGATGGAGCGCAAAACGGCATCTTCTGCTGCGGAGGAGAGGGAAGATTTCACAGATATCATCACTAACGTCCTGGCTCATTAACAGTTTATTTCATGCAGTGTGACCTAAAACAAATGCAGAAATGTAAATGACTAATACAAATGTGTGCTTACCCTTTCTGGATGCATCATTAGGAGGTGTCAGTAAGCTCTTCGCTTGCTTGTTGCCTGCCTGAGCAGATCGTCTGTAGTATTCAATCGCCGTCCTCAGATCCTGCTGCACCCCAAAGCCGCTCTCAAAACACTGACCCAGCAACAGCAGGGCGGTGTCGTCCTGCACACGTGAACAAAAGTATACGTTTGCTGTTTAATGTTCAGGAATAATCTTTTACAATCTGAACTTGCCCTGGTAGATTTCTGGAGAAATGTGAAGGAAACTTAATATGTTATGTTATAACCTACACCAGGAACTTGGTGGCACACTTACATTACATTACATTGCATTTAGCTGACGCTTTTATCCAAAGCGACTTACAATAAGTACATTCGACCAGGAAGACACAACCTTGAAGAAAACAGAATCATATAAGTACATCAGGTTTCATAGAGCCAAACATTTCAAGTGCGACTCAACTGGCTTTAGATAAGCCAGTCCTTTATAAGTATATAAGTGCTTTGTTAATAGTTCTATCGCTCGAAGTGGAGTTGAAAGAGATGAGTTTTCAGTCTGCGCCGGAAGATGTACAACTTTGTTATTTGTGTAATTGTTGTTGTGTTTGAAAGAAACTGGCACCCTTTCTTCACATTTTATATTGTGTATTTTATAGATACATTTTATAGAAATGTATCTTTTTTTGTGCCGACATGTATATATTTACTGTAGATATTTTATTCCTGTCCAATGCCTGATGCAATGCTGCGAAACAGGAACTTCCCAATTTGGTTTCAATGAAGTACATCCATCTTTCCATCTATTTATCTATCTATGCATTATGGAGACAGTAGTATGGAAGATGTCACTATTCAATCAAGCATAGCGTATGACTACACAGTGGGATATTCAGCGTGGCTGTCGCTCTAGATTGACTTGTAGAAACAGAAATGTTGATATCACTTTAACACAACCGCAGCAGAAAGCGTTAGTAGGGGTATTTTACTAACGGTTGTGATACCCTGCTGAATAATACAGACTGACTGGTTGGGTACAGAGGGATGGAGTTGAATTTTCATCATAAAACTCTAGAAGCATCTAGAAAGACACTTACTCCGCTCTCTGCTGCCATCTGCAGGAACTCAACAGACCTTCTCCCATCTCTCACCGGCTCCTGAGAGTAGACCGAGGCGAGGCAGACCTGAGCCTGAGGGGGGGGGAGAAACAGAGAGTAGATTCACTTCTGTAGCGATACGGCATCTAGAACCCGTAATAATCCAGTAATGGCTGATTTGTTAACACCCCAGATACTCATGGTTACAGCAAAGGTGGACTCTGACTATGTGGGTCAGCAAAACAAACTATTGAAATTATTGTTGTTTTATAACAATGTATGTTATTTCTATTATAATGTCCCATTTAGCCATGACAGCGTGACAGCGGACCAACATGTACTATACCTGGACGCTAAAACTGAAGCTGTTAAATCAGTGTTTCCTGGCGGGATGAGGGCGGTCCGATGATGGCGATCCGGGGAAGGGGAGGAAGTTACTTTGGTTTGAGAAGTGGGGGGGGAAACAAAACAGGGTGTCTGTGGGCCCTCCGCAATGGAAATGGTTCTCGATTTGAATCCCTTTTCCTGCCTTTCTAACTAAATATTTGTTAGGACTATGGTGCAATCCAAGAAAATGTGTAGTGTATAATGCCTGGCAAACGTATCTAGTATCCTCTCCATGTGAACCTGCTTTATTTGTGAGTGGACCTCACATTCTCTAGGGGGGTCCGGGGGCATGCTCCCCTGGGAAGAGTTTGTTTTAAATGTTGAAGTTAAATGCATCAATCTGGTGCACTTTGAGCACGAGATGAAGAGATTTATGGGTACAGCTCTCAACACTCATGAAACAGAACTGTATATATATATATTTCAATAATCCAAATATCTTTAGAATATGATCACAACCAGGGTGGGATTTTCACGGAGGCCATGACGGCCATGGCCGTCGTAGCCCCTCGGTCTGGCCGTTATGCCCCACAAATAATTGTACGTCCTACGGCCACCATGGCCTTTGGGCCACTCACACTGTTAAAATCTTGAAGTTGCTTTAAAAGCGTCCGAACAGTGGTTTCTGAACTACATTATGCTGCGTTCACAACGGACGCGATGCGAATATTCGCATTGCTCTAACCGCTGGAGTTTCACCCGGTTTCATCGCGGCTGTCAGCTGTGTTTACTCCTGTCACAGGGCGCGCTGGAGAGGGGGCGGGGCTTATATCCATGTAAATACTGTGGTGGAAACCAACTACGACAAACGTAACCTATTTTACCGTGATTTAATTCTAATACACGTTTCAAAATGATGCCGAATTAACTAAATACTGGTAACGGTTAGTAAAAACCATGCTTTGACAAGTGTGCAGACAAGACGGCAGGCGAAAAACCTTTTTAAATGCATGTTTTCTGAATGGAGATTGGATCGATCAGGCTAAACCAGTGGTTCTCAAAGTGGGGGGCGCGCCGCCCCAGGGGGGCGCAGAGGCATGACAGGGGGGGCACGAGAGACCAGGAGAAAAAATGTCTAAAAAAAAAAATAAAAAGAATAATATTTTGAAAAATTATTGATTCGAAAATAATATGATACAGTACAGTACTATTACGTCTGGGTCTCTGTGTTTCATTAAAGCTCGGCTCTGTGTGTGTGTGGAACGAGCCATTTTGTGTGCGTGCGCGAGCGAGAGAGAGATAGCGCACCGGTACCGGAGATCGTTGTTGTTAGCTTCTGGTGCTAGCGAGCTACGCTAACGGATATAAGGAGTTTTTTCAACAACAAAGTGGAGGAGAGTCCTCTCCTGCCAGACTGAGAGACTCAGTGAGCTAAAGGACTCTGTGTTATCTCAGTGGGTCTCAAACGTTTTGGTCACCATTAATGTAAACAATTATTTCCGAAGCACACGTTTATATGATCATTATAGTTATAAAAAAATAAGAGAATGAATGAAAAACTATATGACAGTAAAACAAGAATAACGTTTAAAAGGGGAGTGATTTGCAAAATATCCATAAAGAAATAGTACATCTGTTTACAGTTCTGTTTCAAATGGATGTTGAGAGATGTATCCATAGATCTCTTCATTTTGCTCTCAAAGATACCAGATTGATGCTTTTAACTTCAATATTTAAAAATCTTCGCGGGGGAGCTTGCCCCCGGACCCCCCTATGTGAGGTCCACACACCACCTATAAAATAGCACTTTACCCCTGCTTACACCTATATGCCGTGAGCTGATTATCGAGCCTTCATTGTAACAGTCGCGGGTACACTGTGTATATGTGTGGGGAGTGTTGCAGTAGAAAATTCCACTGTAGCGCCCGGTACATTAATGGGAAACCCTAAATGTTTGAGCACCCTCTATGAAACGTCAAGCTACCCCACAGCACCCCCAAAAGAAATCTCTGGCGCCGCCACTGAGCCTGACTATTTGTGTTGGGGGGGCCCGACTTTTTTTTTTCTCCAAAGGGGGGGCCTGACAGAAAAAGTTTGAGAACCACTGGGCTAAACTAACGTTGTAGCTGCTCCGTCCAATCTCACACCAACGTCCTAAAGACAGACATGACACAGACAGTCTATGGTATACACACACACACAAATGATGTATGTGCAGAGTTTGACCCTTGAAGGCTGTTTCTTCTGCTCTGAAATGGAATCTATTTGTTACATATTAATAGAATTTGTGATTTGATTTCGGATTTGTGAATGGGAGAAGTAGTAGATGGAAAACATACCAAACACTAATTATTCAAAGTAAAGTATTTCATTGTATACACGGTAATACTTAGGAGGCATAGGCCTATAGGATGATATCATGTTTGACATTATTGATATAAAAAAGGTAGGGCTGTCAAACGATTACAAATTTTAAATCAGATTAATCACAGCTTAAAAATGAATTAATCATGATTAATCACCATTCGAACTATGTCCAAAATATGCCATTTCTTTATGTATATTTTGTGGGAATGGAAAGATAAATGAAAGAAGGCGGATATATCCATTTAACATACAGTATCTTTGTTTATTATAACATTTTTCGGGCGGCGGCTAGTGGAGTACTTCGTGACCACAGTGTGAACGTTGTGATCAGCTGTTTTAGCGCAGTTCTCCAGTTGGGGGGGGGGGGGCGTAGTTTTGGCACAATTCCTTTGTACAGACCGACGTTAACAGCAGCCCTGTCTGTGCACACGGAGACCGACTCTGTCGTCCGGTGATCTAACCGCCTTCTGGAAAAGCTTCACAAGTACGTCGGTATGCAAATGCACTTTGTGCAGTGGCGACTGGTCATTAGGGGCAGGTGGGGCACAGCCCCACCTAGTGTCAGCAGAAAGTATTAAAAAAAATTAAAATATATATAAAATATATTTTAAGATCATGTTTAATCATCTGATTCGTCTCATTGCTGTTTTAGTCTGTGTTCTTCTAATTAGTGTCTACAGTGTGTGCCTATTGAGCTGTTTAGAGCCATGTGGGACAAAACCCGATCCTGCCCCTCCCTCTCCCTGTTTAAGTCAATGGTGACTGTAAAAACTACACTGCGCATGCTCAGAATATTTTCCTATTTAATGTGTGTGGCAAAAAAATAATGACCATAGGGGCATAGTGCTGCCATCCCCACCATACGTCATCTTACATAATTCAGAGCTGATTGGCTGTAAGTACGTGTGCCGCGAAAAGTGTGGTGTGTGAAGAGGAGGAGAGAGAGCTGCAGTGACGCATCCTAAAACCCGGAAGTAAGCTGCGCATGGCTTCCCTCGACAAAAAAGCAATGAGATTTCTCCATAGGATTTTAGAAAATAGCTCCAAATAAGATCTGTGGGAAACAAACCTGTTAGATAAATGCACGTTTTGTTCAGCCGGATAATATCCACATGTCTACCATACTTTTATAATTTTTGAATCATAAATATATCGATTAGATCAGATTTATGATAGACTTTTGAAACTACAAGAAGATAAGGAGGACTTTTACAAAAAAGTAATAGAGATTTTTGTCCAGAAGGATAGGCAAATGGACTTCATCTTCATGTCAAGGTAAGACCGCAATTGTATTGAAAATGGGATCTTACTAAGAGAGAACAATTCAATATTTAAATGATAAAATTACATGTTTTGGGTATCCTTTTGTTGAACTGTCTGTTTAAAATTAATTGAAGCATCAGACAAAAAAAGCTTTTGAAAATAATATTATATTTTGATTTAGGTCAAAATATAATATTAGTAAACCTGAAGAGTCAGTGCCAGTGCCTCACCAGCCATGAACCTCATTGCAGAAGCTTATATATATACATCTACGTTTTTTGTGCCCCACCACTTTTGTACATATAAAAACGCCACTGGCTTTGTGACACAAGTGACGGTACGCATTCCAGATTACGCACATAACCTGCGTACCAGTTATGTGTTACCTGTACTACAGCAAAAGTATTCTCCGTCGGGACTTCCTGCAACAACACCACGCCGTTATCAAAGATGTTCTATTGAGAAGACGATCACTACGTGACAAAAGTTTTCAAAACCGTGGCTACTGAAATCAATCTTACTAACTGCTGTCTGTGCAATTTACTCTGCGCGAGTTGGCAGACTTTATTTTGCTTACTTTAACATCATTTTTCATGGTGGGGCTAAGCCATTTCTTGGTATGGGTGTAGCCGACCCCAGCCATACCCTGGCGCTGCCACTGGTGGCACGTATGGGGCGGGCCATTCTGCACATGCGTTAAATATTTTAACGCAATTAATTCAAAAAATTAATTACCGCCGTTAACGCGATAATTTTGACAGCACTAAAAAAAAGTGATTTGTTTTCCATGTCATTCGTGTGTTTTTCTTATCAGAAAGTTTATTTATTTGTAAGCTCCAAATCCAAATGTTTCCCTCAATGGCCTTTGTGCCCTGGCATGTGGCCTTTCCGCCCTGAAAAAATGTGTGACACCAAAGTCCAAATGGCCTTGCCCCTAAAATGACGAAAATACAAGCCTGATCACAACCAATAACAAATCATTTAAACTTGTTTACTCCTCTCTCTTATCTTACCTAGTTAGCATTCTTTCTTTTTATTTATGCATATTTTACTTTTATTTATGCATATTTACTAATCTCTCTCCTTTTAAACAGTATTTTTTTTTTTTACTGTCCTATAGTACACATTGGAATGATGTATTACTTTATTTTTTACAACTATATTAAATAGATAAAGGTGTGCATTGGAAATATTGTTTACATAGATGACCAAACAATTTGAGACTCACTGAGATAGCTTAGACTAAAGTTAACTATCCTATCACTCAGAGAGTCCTTTACCTCACTGAGCTGTAGTTACCAGCCTCTCAGTCTGACAGGAGAGGACTCTCCCTCCAGCTTGTTGTAGAAACAGCTTCTATTATCCGTTAGCTCTGAGCTAGCACCAGATGCTAATAACAACAATCGCTTGTTCACACATGTGCTCGTGCCACACACACACAGAGGCTGTGTGCTCCTCCGTGACGATGACGGCTTGACCTCATAAAATCATAATAATTGAATTTGAAATGGGGGGGGACACAAACTGGATTTTGAACATGTGGAAATTACGCCCAGGACTTACATGACCAACAGCAGAGCTTGGGGCTATAACGCAGATTTCTTTTACACTTTGTTGTTCTCCTCCTTTCCCTCCACTCTTGTCTCTGACTGTGAATGTGTGAGTGTGTTGTGTGTGTGTGTGTGTGTGTGTGTGTGTGTGTGTGTGGGGAGCGGAGCCCCGCCCTTCGGAAACAGAGTGGAGGAGAGAATGTGATATACCTATCCTCATCCTACTGTGACATTAGATTTTTTTATAATTCCAGGTTTTAAAAGAAAATCTTCCATTACTGAACAGTAATGTGGAAAGCCATGTTGCAAACTAATATTTTAAGTGTTGTTTAACAGTACCTTAATATACTACAGTTGCAAAGGTATTATATGAGGAATCATTTTAATTGATAGTTTAAAGATGTTATGATTTCTTACCTTGGTGAGTCCTGCAGCAGCAGCTTGTTCCAGTAAGTTGATGGCTGTGTTCAGCTGCTCTAAACTCTGCTGCCCCCTGCTGGTCAGGAGCAGCTTTGCATATCGGTACTGAGCCTGTCGGTGGCCCCCAGCTGCTGCCTGCCAGTAGTAATACAGAGCCTGGAGGAGAAAAGACACAAGCATCATATCAAGACTGATTCCTCAGACAGGACAGGAGTATTTGTGATGACTTTCAGAAATGTTCTGGATGTCTGTGGTCTTACCTTCTGTTTGTCTTTTTCGACTCCTCTGCCTTTCTCGTAGCACACACCTGTGTTGAACTGGGCCTTGCTGTAACCCTGCTGAGCTGCAGCTAGGAAACATGTAAAAGCTTCCTCGTAGTTCTTACTATTGGCATTTTCTAGACCTGCAATACACAGACACATGAAGATATCAGATATGGACACTTGGAAAACAAATGCAGATTATTTTTTCCCTACAAGTGTAGTGTAAAATGTTGTGTGGAGTAGAAATGAATGTGTGAATATGACATGGTGTAATAAATCATTACCAATGACGTTGAGGGATGACAGGAACGCTGGTTTCTTCTCCACATGTCTGAGATTCAGTGCTGCTCCTGCCAGCCTCTCCTCATCAGACAACATGTCCTGAAAACACAGAGGAGGTTAGAAAACAGCAAGTAGCAAGTTAATGACAACTTAGGAAGTAGAAATAAATGCTGCTTATTTCTTATTAACTTCACAGCCACTAAAGGAGATAGACATTCACCTTGTCGTTAGCATCTTGTGTCTCCGTGTTGTCGTCATTCTGCAGAGGACAGGATGCTGACAGAAGTGATTCCTCTGTGAGTCAGGAAAGGGTTAGGGTTAGTATTACTTTTATTGAACAACAGATACTAGGGTAACACCAATTTGAGAAAAATACTATGTTCAAACAATCTTTCCACACTGTCAGACAACAGAACAAACCGGGTACAGGAGAATCCTGGCTCAGGAGCGCCCTCTGTGGGTCAGAGATGGAGCAGTCAGCAGTCAGATGCTCCTGCTCACTGCTGCTGTAGAGACTGGCCTCCTCTGAAATGCTGCTGCTGCTACTCTGGTCCTGTCTCTCTGGGACCCCCTGCAGACACAACACACTGCGTCCTCTGGGCAGGACATCACGTCTGGACACTGAAAAGCCAGACAAGAAAACAACGTCAACATTCTTATAACACAAGATTCAAAGGAAAGTAAGCTTTGGGTTTGAGATGATTTAATGTCTGTTTTGTGAAACTATCTTGCCGATGGATTATATCAGTTGATATGAAAAAAAGGACCAATTGCATGCGTACAGTACAATGACTCACAGATTTCCAGCAGGATGCGGTAGCCGCACTTGTGCAGGGTGGAGGGGGCGGTCAGGGCTCCAGGGATCGGACTCTGCTCAGCGTTGGAGGAGAACTGGAAGTGGATCCTCTTACAGACCTGCATGAAAAGAACTGCTGCAGCACCCTGTGGAGAAACATCAGAGACACTGTCACCTCTGTCATGAGAACATGAGATGTCAACTTCTACTCCTGGCACAAACATCCTAATATCAATGTACTGCCAAGCTTTCAATTACACAGCACAGAGCTGCATGTCTAGCTCTGTACTGTTCATTTGGGGAATGCATGGTGCTCTCTCTTGGCTTGGAGGAAAGATTTCTAAGCAATCTGCTCGTGTATTTTGTATTAATGGACTTTGGCCAGGTCTAAAAGCTTTCTGGATCCCCCGAGAAAATAAGAAGTGGCAGGAGGTGTGGCCTCCTAGAGCAACTTGTGATCAAACCTAACGAATAAACACCCATACACTCCACTGTTTATGGGCCACTAGTAGGGGTGTAACGGTATCCGTATTCGTCCCGTACCGTCACGGTTCGGCACATGCAGTCACACGGCGAATACGCCTTTTTTTATGAGTGGGAAAAAAGTCTGTCAAGCAGGGCAGTATTACACTATATATAATCCAGGGGGCGGTATTGCGCCTAAAAGCCAGCCGCCCGTAAATAACAAATGAAGAACAAGAACAAAACACAACAAAACGAACACAATACATGAAGAAGAACAGTTAGTAGCTATGGCGACTTCACACAACACACAGGAGCTAGAAGACCCACCTGCTTCTTTTAAATCAGGTGTGTGGGAACATTTCGGGTTCCCTGTGGACTACAACAATGATGGGGTGCGAGTTGTGGATCGGACGAGGACGGTGTGTCGGCGTTGTTCGACAGCGGTGGTGGTATGATAGTGGTAACACGTCAAACATGCTCAATCACATCCGAGTCAGTCTCAGTCCCCAGCGAGAGGGTTTTCTCGACGGCAGGTGACATAGTTACCGCCAACAGATCTGCCCTCACTACTGACAACGTAGACAAACTCATCTTTTTGAAGAACAACTCGAAAATAGAGTAAAGCTTGAGTACCTTTATTTAGGCATAATGGCCTCACACACTCACAAGTTAATTACATATGTTAGACATTGCTCCTAAAGGTACAGATTTTATTTTGTTATATATTTATCATTGTATTTATTTTATATTTTGACATCAGGAGATGTTATACAGTTCTGTATTGCCTTTTATTGATTGTGATTGAAACACTTTCTTATTATTTATTTTAATATTTTCAAGACATTCTTTTTAGTTGTACAGCTTATTTAACCTTTTTGTTTGACATCAGCCATTATAAATAATATGGCCATCTGAGTGTGTGTGTTACTGCTGGTGGTTTGTTTTTAACTGTGTAATACAGTTAATGATTCCAAATGTTAGAGTTCCTTATTTTCATACCAAAACTTGCACTACTGTTAAAAATAAATAACAGCAAAAAAAATTATGCATTTGAGACTTTTTTTTGCTTTTCCTTGTTGTACCGAACCCGTACCGAACCGTGACTTCTGTGAACCGTTACACCCCTAGCCACTAGTGTAATGTCCAATAAACAGTGGAGTGTATGGGAGCAAATGCAAACCAGCTCATACTGTAGCAAAGGCCAAATGTGTCACAATGATTCATTCATATATTTTTAACTGTTGCATTTACTTAAAAATAAAATTAGCTAAAAAACGTTTCAGATTAGTTTAGTTTTCAATTTGTACACAGTAAATACAAAGTGATTTTATATAACTGTTGATATGAGAACAGTGGCACACTCTTAATATATTTAATAGTAATAGTTATCAAATAGGCCATGGATATTTGTCTAATAAGTGCAGACCCACTCGCCTCCTGAAAACAAATTGTGATGCCTTGAGGACATCAACATAGTCATACTGGTATTAAGTTAGGTGTTTTTTATTGAAATGTAAGAACAGAAGACATACCCATCCCACGGCATCCAGGGCTGTGTAACGTGGCAGCTCCGTGTAGCCAAACTGAGAGGTCCTCTGTTTCTTCCTCCTCTCTCCATCCTCCTCTTTCTGAGAGCTGACAGAAAAAAAGCACAAACTAAAAATATAACAATGATATGCCTGTTACTTTTACCACATATATACTCTGCTTAACGCACATGGATTTATTTCGGTGCCCTCGACTGACCCTGTTCATGCAAAAGCTGCTGGATGATGCAACCAGCTGAAAGGGGGGGGGGGGGGGGGGGGGGGGGGTGGGGGGGGGGAGAACGAGTTCAAGGACGGGGTAAAGAAGAAATAAATTATCTGAGGGTATTCTCTGCTGTCTGGCGATAACTCAAATGTTTATTTTCATTGGCAGTTCGAGGGCAAATAAGTCTTGAGATCAAAGGGAGACGCTCCACGCTTTTCTTCTCTGTTTCTCACGTCTAGCTTTGTAGGATTTTGTCATCCGACCTGGACAATGTCTGAACTGTGTTAAAAGCAGAGTGGAGGTCTGGAAAGTACCTGATGTCAGAGGAGTGTCGAGAGCTGGAGATGACGGCCGAGCTGTGGATGCCCTCCACCTCCCCCAGACCCTGAGACTGGCCCTGGGGCAATCGCAGGGGGGAGCTGCCATGGCATCGGTGCAGAACTGAAGTGAGGGGAAGACAAAAACCGCAAAATTAGACACTCATTCCCACCGTTGAAAAACAAAAGTCCTTCTCAGGAATTGTTTTACTAATTCACACGTTTATATATCTGATCATTTCGAGGAAACTATAGCAAGCTATGAGACGTTTAAAAGAAAGTAGTAGCAGAAAATATGCAGAGGCACACCTGCAGGAACAAATTCCTGAAATACCATCTCATTACAATAAAATAGGCTATTTTGACTTTATGTTAATGCATTTCACCAAGGCTGTAAGAACCCACATAAGTTATTGTAAGTGGATAACTTGTGTACACCGAGTTGTGATGAACTGTCATCAAAACAACGCATGTGAGAGTATTGTTCGGGCAGGTGTAGGTTTGCAGTGCATAACATGTTTAACAGTTTCCCCAAAATATACATAC